TGTAATGTGTGGTGCTGATGACGAGTACTTACCTGCAGTACCGCCCCTCGCCGCAGGTGGAGCCCCACCGCGAAGCTGCAGGGTTGCCTGGAGCTGTCCCGGGACATGGTGTCGGACGTCTGCCGGTCCAAGCGGCACGTGGCCGTGAAGACCATCCGCCTGGTGGACGTCAAGTCTCTGGCCCCGCTCGTCAGGAACCCTCGTCTCAACGTCAAGGTCGTGCACCTGATCAGGGACCCGCGCGGGATCTACAACTCTCGCGTGAACGAGAAGCGGGGCGAGAAGGGCGCGCTGGACGCCGTGGCCGAGCAGATGAACTTCCTGTGTAAACGGGAGGCTTATAACCTGCAGGTCAGTAGTAACATACAGGATAATTACTGTCTACGTGTGGGGGCTTCCTCTGTAAACGAGAGGCTTATAATCTACAGGTCAGTAGTAACCTACAGGATAATGTAAAATTACTGTAGAAGTGTGGGGCTTAATGTGTAAACGGGAGGCCTACAATCTGCAGGTGTGTCTAAATCTGCAACCTCCAGGCAAGAAGGTTGCTCCAGGTCAGTGTAAAGCTGCACTAGTTTGAAGTGGCCTCCAATACCATTCGGCCAGTGCTTTGCAATCTAAAGTTCAGTGTAAACCTGTAAGCTACATGGTACATGGGATTGGGACGTCTTATGTAAACGGGACCGAGCTCCACAATCTACAGGTTTGCACTGAATAGGGATGACAAGTTCAAGTCTGCTATCTTTGATGATTGCCTTGCTTGATGGAAGGGATCTCAATTAGATTGAAATCTCCTTCAATACTTGATCACGTTTCGGACAAATCCGTATTCAAACAATGCCTATTGTTGTCCCGTGTCAGGTTGGCCGCTCCCCGCTGCCGTGGCTGTCCGGCCGCTACAGACTGTTCCGGTACGAGGATCTGGCGCAGCGCCCATTGCAGCAGGTGCAGCAGCTGTACGACTTCGTGGGGCTGCCTCTGCCCGGTCACGTGACTCAGTGGATCCTGGACAACACTCAGGAGGACCGGGACGGGAGCCTCTACACCACGTCACGCAACTCCTCCGCCACGGCGCATGCGTGGAGGCACGCCGTGCCCTGGCCGTACGCGCAGAGGGTGGAGAGCACATGCGCGAAGATGCTGGACCTGGCCGGGTACAAGCGCGCCCCTAGCGAGAACCATCTGCACGACATGTCCTACAGTCTCATGGGCCCCATCCCCACCCCTAACGCCCAGCCCCGCAGTCAGGGGTCTAAACCTGAGTCCGGTCTGAATCTCCCCACTAAAGTACAGCTATTTGATGAAAATGTTGACTCTCTAGCGTTGAATTAAATGGATGGATTGTTGTTTTATTTTGTGCCTTCTTTGTTTTTTTGTTGTTGTACTTGTTTTACTTTTATACTTGATCATTATGTTCATAAACAAACAAACAAACAACGTACAATTTGCGGATAAACAAACAGGTTGTTTATTTCATATCCAAGCGTATCAGGTTATCTTAGAATGCACATACGTCACAATTACCGCCAATCTTGTATTCAGCTGACAAATGTTGGCTACATTCAAATTAAAGCCTTTCTCTTTGCTACGAACTGGAGACGAAGTCTTTCACTCAAAGCTTCGGCGATCGGGTTGAAAATTTAATTTGCAGCACAACGAGGAACAGTTAAGTCACCATTTAAGAGTACTATATATATAGTTCTACACAGAGGAACCAAAATACCCAGAGCACCGTTATGCATGTCACTACTATGCATGTTTTTCAGATATTTCAGACCGTGTCTTTTTACAAAATAGAGTCTTTTCCCCCCAGAAATTTACGTTCCAACTTTGGTGCAATCACTAGGAGGAATTTCACATACATCGCGACGCGGTTCTATACAGCGTTCAGCGCTATAGAGTTTCCGGAATCCGGAACAGGCGAGTTCTGCCGCTCTGCAGCCGTTTCCGTTCCGGACTCGCCTTTAGCACAGCAGAACGTGACGGGGGACTCTATCCTCCCGCTCAGCACCATCCCGACAAACCCGAACACGGATGACACCACGGACCCCGCCACGATCCCCACCAGCGCGGGAACGTCGTACCAATCATCACCCGCCTTCTGCGTGTACCACACCGTCACCATGGTGACGTTGCCTAGCAACGTGAGGGCAGAGTTCAGCCAGAACGTCCGCCTGTGGTCGGGAGAGAACGTCATGCTGAATGTGTCCACCACCATGGCCAGACCCCAGGCGCACAGGCCAACAAACCCCTTCAGTTTCCTGTCGATGGCGAAGTAGGCGACTGTCATGGCGGCCCAGTGTAACCCGATACGCAGCGCGATCCAGGGCGTGAAGGCGGACGCGAACAGACCCATGGTCGTGACGCGCACGCTGACCTCCAGAACCTTCCAGAAGGTCATGAACACCAGCCTTCCCACAAGCCCGCGCGTCAGCGGCCGCCGGTGCAGGTAGTTCTTGTAGTAAAGATACGTCACCACGGCCTTGACCGTTGCCATGAGAGATATCACCATGGAGACGACCTTCAGGACGCTGACCCGCTCGTCCGTGTAGACCCAGATCTTGGTCTGTAGGCAGAGCTGAGAAATGGCGGCCGTGACGGCATCCAACAGGTGGATGATGGGAAGGTTCCGTTCCACCTCCAATCCGGTGACGTCACCGCCGCTCCACAGAAGGCGGGAAAACACCGCGTAGTGCACGAAAATGCTTACGACGGGAATGGACGACAGACACCGGTACAAGCAGGGCGACTCCTGCACGGTTTTGGCGAAGCTGCTTCTGTCCGGATCGTGTGACCTCGCGGTGAGGCAGATGAACCCGCAGGACCAGGTGTGGACGATGAGCAGCGGCCCGAGGGTCAGGCCGAGGGTCCAGGCGAACCACTCCGCCTGGCGGCCGCTCCAGTACTGCAGGGCAAGCGCCACGTCTGTTCCCAGGTTAGCCAAGTACAGGCACAGCGGGAACACCACCAACATACACACCTGGGGAAACGGGGAGGTAGAAAGGAAAAATAAGACAAGAAAACAATTACGATTTTCAACATTATTTTCTGCAATAGGTTCATTCAGGATCATTCAGACACTCATTCAGTAACAAATTCGCTCTCTCATTCGCTTATTCATTCACTAAGACACTTGAAAATACGATGCATTGATGATAGAATAGAATGGAATAGAATTGAATAATATAGAATGGAATAGAATGCAATAGAATTGAATGGACTAGAATAGAATGGAATAGTGTGTAGAAGAACATCACGAGATATAGAAATATTACCAGTAGTGATCATTGAGTGTCGACTATTTATATGACTAAATAAAGGCTCAAACAAACACTTTGGAGATCTGAAACAAACAAACAAACAAACACCTGTATCGTCTTGTGGCGCCAAATCATCTGCCAGCCTTCCGTGGTCCTATCCCAGCATGCGCCGGGGCAGCCCTTTGCCTGGGCGAGACCCTCCCAGTGCGCATGCACAGTGTGAACGCCCGCCATGTTACTTGTAGAAGTTCAAGGTCACGATGACCAAGTCGTAAGGAAGACTGTCAGAAGGAAGGAAGGAGGTTGTTCCACGGAGAAATCGGGATTCTCGGGGGTGCGTGGACGCTACAACAAGAATAACAAGAAAGGTAAGATTTGCAAGCCAATTCATAAAATCCATAATGTTTACCTTCACATGATGTAGTAGTAGTTACGTAGTAGTAGTAAGCCTTTATTCAAACTCGAAAGCTTGTTAGGTACATACATAAATTGACCGCTTTTCAACGAGTGATCCAGCCTAACAAACTACAGCTCTGTTTATTTTTACTCAAACACATTCGTATGGTGGCCTGCCCCACTATGCCATTTGCTGTATAATCATAAAGAATAACACAACAGATTGTCTGCTACAGCACCAGTTACCATAGTGACAGCCACCAGGTTCAGGTCATTGACCTTATGTGTTTGGAGAAGACGAAACGGAGCAAAAACAATTTTTTTCTGCAAAGGTACTTAGTAATCATAATAAGTAATTAAAGTCACAAACACATCACAAGCACTCGAATTCGTAGCAACATAGCGCAAAACTACATAGTATTGTACTTATATCTCGTTTGTCTCATGACGTCGAGAATGACTGTAACTTTATATACCATCACACTCAGTCTGGTAAAATACTAAGGCCCCCGCTGGTACATGGTAAAGGGCACTATTACTAATTCTCTACCATCGAGCGGCAAACTGTACTCCTTTAGTGCACCAACTCCCCTGGCATGGCATTTTATCTGTCTATTTGGGCAATTTCTATTCTCCCCCTGAAGACTGGTTGAGACATAGACAGTACACTATTCCGACTACAAAGGGGGGGGGGGGACAAAGCTATCCGCTTTTAAAAAAGGCAGCGGCTCCGTATTGCATCATTCATTTCCTACTAATAATAGTAATATAGCGATGAGAAAGACGATTTGTTTCGCCTTATTCTCAGAACGGATACTTAAAAAAAGGGTTATTACTTTACCCCGGCAGGCATTATCGACATTTTGATTATTAGAGCGGGATCGTGTGACAGAACACAAGATCCCACTACCATTTAATACACTATAACAAAGTCTATAAGAGTAGGGCACCATGTAGGTGTAAGTGGCTTAACCCTTACCAAGTACAGCCCGGTCTTGCTCAGCTTGTCTTTACCGTAAAGAGCTGGTGTTTTACACCTAAAAGGCATTTTACCTGTTATGCAAAACACACAAACCAACAAAAAGAATTATAGATATTCACCTGAAGTAACGGTAACGTTGAAGTCCCAGCCAATACAAACGAACCAACAGTCGCGTCGGAAGCGTTGCTTGCTTTTGAACCCAAACACGGAGATTTCAAGTCCAGTCCTGTTGCCGCCAACCCGACTCCCACTACAGAAGAGGGCTGCCGATCCCAGCCCGGGACGTCAAGCCGCGGTGCTGCAATGTTCATGCTCCCTCTCCACAAGAACAGCCACACAGAACACGTACAAACCGCGCATAGCGTCTCGCCTCCTTCTGTAGCTAGTCACAACCAGTTGAAAAGCGGCTCTCCGTGACGTAAGACTGGCTCAAGATACTTTTCCTTTCACAATACGTCTTGAGACATGTAGACAGCTGCTCGGTAACCCGGCCCGGGTCCTTTGTGTCCCGTCGTTCTTACCGACGCACGTCCGCCAGGTACCCGGCGCGTCAGGTGTCCCCGTCTTTTGTCTCACCTGCGGCCGCACGGTGTAACCTGGCACCAACATGGCGGCCGCAAGACTTGTCCGGACATCAAACGGCTGACTGGGGTCACTTGTGTTCCCCATGACACGTTACTATTAGCCTCTAGCAGGCTTCGGGAGGCGGCTGGAAAGAGTAGAAAGCGGCCAAATACTGTAGAGAAATAACATGTCAAAGGAGTTGGTCCGCTACTGCTAGAGAGTACGTTTTGCCAAGGAGTTAAAATCTTGTATTTAACCTCCTTGGTTTTGTCGCACCCGAGTGCGACAATTTCTACTCCGTGTGACCGATATCTACTCTTTACAGCCGTCTCCCGAAGCCTGGTAGAGGCTAACTTTACCATGGGAACGACCTTATTGTGTTTGTGAACACGAGTGTGTGTTTGTAACCCTTGATAGTGCTGACAAAACCAGAGGTGTGAAGTTCATGTTAATAATGCAAAGAAAAGTTAGCAAAGTAGGATTTGTGTGTATCATAGTCATAGATTCCAATCTCAATGGAATGAGTGATTCTATACAAACTAGTGTTATTATACACATGTCTTGCAGATTAAGATATTCATATAGCACTGTGCTGAACAAATCATACAAAGTTTAGACTTTTCAAACACTTTTTATTAAGACTATTTCAGTCAATATGAAGATATTTGATAGGGATATATTGTTTCACCACTCCAGTCTATATTTTGCTAGCCTGGGTACCATCCTGGTTAGTTTACGTCTGCTCCCACAGGTGGGAGCGACTATTTTGCAGACCCTCATTTATTATTATTTTGTGCCCTGGTATCAAAATGTTTATCATATAAGCAGATAAGTTAAATGTCACAATATTGTCATGGAAATTGGATAAGGGCTCCAAGCAGATGTTGGGGGGGTAGATGATGTTTTCTGAGTGACAACGGGGATTGTCAGAGAGACCTTTACCCTACTTAGGCAGATTAAAAGTTGAGTAATCAATATAAAAGTCCGAGGCTAATTTCAGAAAAAAAGCAGATAATGTCCACGTATACTAGTACAATTGTACGCACAAGAAATTTTTTTTCTCCAATTTGTTCCCCAAAGTGTTGAAATGGTGACCATTAGAAATGAAGAAAAATATCTAAGAAAAAGAACAATTGGATATAAGGTTATATATACATTTTATATATTTTTATTCTTTTGTCTGAACTGAATGCAATACAGGAACTGAATAACTCTTCATTCACACAAAGATTCCACATATCATCTTGATACATACAGAAATACAGATACAGCAAAAATGATAAGAATATCCAGAACACTCTTGCATACATGTAGTTTCATCAGGTTGGTATATCAATGAATAATAGGTTCTTTCTTAATTCCAAATCATCCTGATATATGCAGATATCTACAGCAAAGATTACAAAAATACATACATTTGTACAAGTACAAGTAAAAGTACATACTATACACACTCTTGCATAGGTTCATCTGGTTGCTATATCAATGAATATTGGGTTCTTTTTTTACACAATATTTGTTTATTCACATTGGATCATTAATCTGGAATGGTCAAAGTATTGCACAAAAATTGTGCCTACAAAAAACATGTATTACTAACATAATTTACAATGTAGATAGATCATCACAATGCCCCTATCCTGAGTGAATTTGGCATTACAACTGGTTTGTTTGGTTCATGTCACCCTGACCCAGTGTTTCCTGAAACAATGTACAATTACTATATACAATACAATAGAATATGATATTCAATATACAATACAATATACAATTATATAAGTATGCAATTCCACATTATTACACATAACAAAAGTGGGATATAATTTTTGGCATCCTGCATAGAAACAAAATCAATTCTATATCAATGTCCCCAACATGTTGGAGTGACCAGTTAATTATAACTTTATAACTATATAATTTCAATACAGCATTTAAGTTACTATAACCTCACAAATCCAGTATACTGACCTAAGCTGAGGAAATGTACAGAACAGGTCGCCATGTTGGGAACTCAGTACAGCAGCTTCAGGCAGCTGGCTGTGGTGTCCGCTCCCTCAGGAACTCCACGCCTAGAGTACCTGTAGGTGGAAAAGGGAAAACAGAGATGATTAGTTACAACAATTACGGTAACCATAATATTGTCATTATAACTTGAACAATCAGAATGTGGGAGTAAAACTACTGATAAGTGGATTTCATAAACCATTTGGTGCCATACATAATGCACAGTCACTCAAAATTGACAGGTGTGTATCTATTAGGTACATTTATCAAATTTGACTGTGATAGTGCAGTCATTAAAGTATAGCCAGTGTCAATTCACTCATCTAATCACTGAAGTTCTCTCAAATACTCATCTCATTAGAGTCCCTTTAGACACCCAGGAGTAGAGCATGCCTACTCCTGGATGGAGGATAACCAATATAACTCACATCAGCCTCCCCATGGTTGGGTGTTCCTCAGCAGCCTGCACCACAGCCTGGAACCCTGCAGGCTCCATGGAGATGTTGCACAGGTCCAGCTGCTCCAGGGCAGGGAGTCTGGGTAGAGCCTCGGCCAGATCCATGGCAGCGGTGTCAGACAGGTGTGCAGGTGTGTCCCGGTGACCAGACATGTCAAGCCTGGTCAGTGCCGGCAGTGTGCTGATGACCTGTGCGACCCTCCCCAGTCCGGCTCCTGTTACTCCCTCATTCCCCCCGATGTGCAGCTCCTGTAGTGTGGTCAGACTCTTGTCACCAGGTGGGTTTTGTTCCATGTCCAAACTGCTGGGCTGGCAGAGTGTTTGCACCAGTGAGACAATCCCTGAGTCTCCTATGTTATTCCACCTCACATCCAACACCTGTAATTGCACCAGGTGAGGCAGAGCTTTGATCAGGGATGATATTCCCTTGTCACTGATATCTGTCACACTGAGAACCAACACCTTCATGGCTGTGAGGTGGTGGAGGATAGCAGCCAGGCATTCCAGCCCGGGGTCTCCTATGGCATTATCATTAATGTCCAGTTTGATCAGTCTGGTTAACTTACACAGTGCAGGGACCAGTGTGTGCATGCCTGTGGGACTGATACCGGTGGCACACAGGCCCAACACCTGCATGGCAGTGAAGGTGTGGAGGACGGTGGTGAGAGATTCCAGCCCAGTGTCACCAATCTTATTATAACTTATATCCAGTTCTCTCAGTCCCACTAGGTGGTGCATGTAGGGAGCCAGGGATGACATGCCCACAGCTGTCATGCTGACTACCCTAAGACGGAGTACAGCCAGGTGTGGAACTCTGGACAGCCCAACCTGTAGGACTTCCATCCCAGCATCACCAAGGTCACGGTTCTCAGAAAGATCCAGCTCCTCTAACAGAGACATGTGTCTGAACCCCTGCACAAGTGGCTGGAGTGATGATGGTGTTAGGTCCGTGCCTGACATATCCAGTGCCCTCAGACAGGGAACATTCTTCAGAACTGAAACCAGCCTGGCTGTCAGATCAGGTGAGTTAAAATTAAAAAACTGACATGCTACATTGTACAGTCTTAGGTCTAACTGCAGGCCGGGAACACGTGAGGTGAAAATCTGTTCCAGGCCCTGAAGAGCTTCTGATGTATCAACAAGAGATGATTCTAGTATCATTCTACCAGGGAGATGTGATGACTGGATGTTTTCTAAGTAATACTGCAGAGCAGCATGTTGTTTATTGCGATTGTCAAGGTCCAAAATGATAACTGGCAGGGCTCTGCTGACAGCCTGCAGTACACCCAGCTCCTTTCTCTCATTCAGGATATTCAGGCACAGCAACATGAACCTCTTGTAAGTTTCAATGGATGTCTTCACATTTGGCTTTACAGGTAGGTGGAAATCCTCCTGAAAGTCACCTGGTCGTAAATGTGAAAACTCCTTGCTGCTGAGCTTGATTAGTTCCTCCATCACAGCTTGTGCTGCCTGTGAGTCACAGCCACATGTGAACTGAAGCAGGTTACTGAGTTCAAGTGCCTTGCTTATGGAGGTGAGCTGCAGCAGCTCAACAATGTCTTGGTTCACTTGAGCATGAGCTACATATCGTCCGGCCAGGAACTCTTGCATGGTCTTGTGTGAAAAGTTCAGCTGTTTCCTAGGATGCAATTTTGAGGAAGAAACCTCCAAGGAGACCACACCCAGCTTTAACAGTAACTCCCAATTAACCTTTTGTCTCTTTACTTCTGTAAGGTCAAGCAGGGTCTCATTCCTCAGCAATGCCTCTAGTGCAAGCTTGCCGAGCTGCAGTAATGACTCAGCAACCTCTGTAGGCAGCCCTTCTGTTGGCATGTCCACTCCTTCCCGCTTACAGCACTTTCTGACCAGACATGTCAGCAGGTTGTCATACAGCCCCATCATTGTTCCAGTAGACACTATCTCTTGGTCCTCCTCCCACAGCAGACACACAAACATCAGGAACATTGGGATTTGGATGAGGCTGCCTAAGGGTTCCTGGTTTTTAAGAAATACGTGATCAGCACCTAGCATTATGAAATATTGCCTAATAAACTCCTCTCCCACCTCCGGATTTTTTGTAATGATGAAATATTCCCGCACATATTCCACCATATGCTTAGGTGAGAAGCCCATGATGTGTACGTGACAGTCTGGCCGGGTGTACTGCTGCACTCCTGCTGAGGGTCGGGAGGTGATCACAATCGTGCTGTTGGGGTACATCTTGCCAGACAGCAGTTTGGGAATGGCCTGCCCGACTGCCCTGGCCTCAGGCCGCAGCTCATCATACCCATCTAGGAGGAAGAGCACACGGGACTTGTTCCTCTGTAGGATTGTTCTAATGGACTGTGCTTCAATACCTTCAGTTGTTTCATCAACACACTGGTCCCACACCATCTCCTCTATGGTCTCCCCCTCTCTCACCTCCCGGAGTCGGATCAACAGGACGATGTCGTGCCGTCTGCCCAGCTCTGTTTTCTGTGAGACGGCATCTAGGGCTTCTTTGGACAGAAACGTTGTCTTCCCCCCTCCAGCTTCACCCTCAATCAGAATGCACCTTGGTGCTGTAGACAGTCCTGTGACATCTGGCTTGAACAAGTCGTCTAATGACTTAAGCTCTTTTCTTTGTTGTCCTTGCTCTGATAATAACCAGGAAAAGTCTTTGGGTCTGGGCATTTTGAGTTGTTTTTCACTTGTTGGTATCATCTCTAACTGGGTGAAGATGTCAGTGAGGCTAAGTGTGAAGTTGTCATTCCAGATCAGAGGCTTGAAGTGAGTCAGTTTCAACTCATAGCGCCTCTTGACAGACTTCTGGAACAAATCTGGAATACACAGGACACTTTTGTAAGACTTCAAAATCAATCTTAGAGAAAATATTATGATTTTTTATGATTTAAAGCTTAAAATGTAGAGAATGATAAAAAAAGTCAGATGAAAGCATGAAGCAGGCTCAAATATGTAATCTGAATATTTGACTGTCACAGGTTTTGAAAAGTAAACATAATTTACACTTTTTTTACCAATTTTTTTTGAATTTTAAAGGCTCATAACTGCTCATAGAAACAACATATCAAAACAAAATTAACATTTTTGTAATCCTTAGTTCCTGTGTCATCAGTCCATGAAATTACATTTACCACTCTCCTTTGCATTATAAGTGCAAAAGGACACAGTCCATATGAGGTCAAAGTTCAAGGCCAGATAGAAAGGTCAAAGCTGCCAATATGCATTTACTTCAATATGAAAACTGCTACAGTAAAAAGAAAAAAAAGTGCATCATCACAAACACAATGGCACACCACAGGCCCAATTACAGAGAAATACAATTTACACAACTATATTTTTTAGCTGCGAACAAGGATTGGATGATCCAACCCTTCTTAAAGCATGTAATAGTTATACTATTATAATATAATCTCCTCTGTTGTTTCAATAAATTCACACAAAAAACTTGAGATCTGAAATCTCCAAAACAGAGTTTTTTTAAGTTTGATCTGCACTAATTAATAAGAGAGTACTGTTACCTTCAAATACTAAACATACTAACCCCATTTCCAGAGCAAACAGTTGTTCTGGCTAACTACGTAGTTACAGTTTGATGGGGCACAAACCTTATTAACAAAACTTATTGACAGTGGAAAGTTTAATGTAGATGATACTTCCTATCATTTTTTATGTCAATTATGATTCCCACCTGTCTGATTGACACCTGACACTGAAGTAGACACTGTTCCTGCAGCTTCAGCTGGAACTTCTGCCAGTGCTAAAATAGAACACAAAAGGATTACCCGGTAGTACCATTTTTTCTGAACACTCATAAAGAACAGTTTCAATCGTTAACGTTGCAAATATCTTTTTAAGCATTGTTTCTCTTAAAACCTCAAACTTCAGAGACCAGAACATTTTAGAATCTGCCAAAGGTGGAAGTTTGATCTTTCACAGTAATTTTATTCTTCAGGGTATTTACACAAATCAAAGTGAAAATAAAACATGTTTTATTTTCTATTTTGATATTGAGAATGATGATATGCAAGATACAAATTAGAAAGGCCGACATTTGCTTTGGAATTTTATTCATGGAACACCGAAATGTGTTGGCAATAGTTAGATGGTTAGTAAATTAAAAAAGACAAATCAAGCAATATCAAGCAATTACCTGAGCAAATGAAATGTTGCATATAATATTGTGTTGCTGCACTGCAACAATACATCAATCATAACAAGCATTCTTAACACTATATTTTCATCATAAGGTAAGGACAAGATATGTGATATCATCGAGTCTTGATGCATTCCATGAGGAAAGGCCAGTGCACTAGAAGTCTCGGTGTAGTTCATCACCAAATGGATGGATTCCACGACTATAAATTAGTATTTGTATTCTGGCATGGCAATGGGGGTCATCACTTCATTGAAGAATTCCCCAACCAAAGGCCAGTATTAGATAGCATAAAAACATTGGGACAGTGAACATAACAACATGATTGTGACCCTGTTTACATGGATCAAAATGATAAAAATAACGTTAACTAACTCAAGAGCCCTTGACATATAAGGGATGACCAACATTTTCTTGAATTATCTCTTAGGCCACAGCAAGTAATTTTTATGGATGACATCAGCGCACGCATTAATTTTGGCCTAATTTTGAAAAAAAAAAATTTTGTTGCCTTCTGACAGTGGTCAACATGCCAAAAATGGGCAAAGATGTCTGTTGCCATGCCGGAAGGTGGATGGCAGATAACTATGCAGGGAGGAGACAAGAAAAAGTTTTGTGTCTTACTTTGATGCAGTGATGTGTGATGTTGGCTGTGTATATATGATGTTGCCACTGACTAAAAACCATTTGTACAATGATTGAGTCAAAATTTTAATATTTAGGAACCTTGTTTTTTTCGGCACGCCTTGTTTTTTTTTCGCCTGCTCGCATTAGATTTGGAGTCTGCAGAGGATGTCATCCATAAAATTTACTTGCTGTGGCCTTACCTTCCTCATGAGATTCCCCATCTTCAGAATCAGATTCAGTTCTCGGTTTCTTCGACTTCTGTCCAGGGGTTTGTTCCCGATGTTCTTCCTTCCTTTTAAGTTTGTTTGTGGATGGCTGTAGCTCCTGTAACTCTGCATGCATGGGCATGGGTGAGCATTACATGTATATACGTTAGGTATGGACCAGGAAATATAGAATAGTCTTTTAAATTTGTACAATAATGGTTGTTTTCTTTCCATATTCTTTTGCTGCACTGAGACTATAGATTGTCACTATACATGCTATATGGGCAATCAAAAGTTCTGTGTGATAAATACAACTATCACAATCTTTGGACAGTATTAACATCTCATTCCTTATCTAACCGGTAGTGTCATTCTCAAAGTCTCTCACCCTAAATATATCTTCATCTTACACATGTTACAGTATCGTAAAACAGAATTGGTTCAAGGATAACATCAAGCTAGAGATGTAATGGGAAAACTTCCATTTTAAAGAACAACTAAACGCAACGGTGTTGTAACAGTGGGGGCTTCATAGGTGCTACCAGCTGACCTGGCCAATGGGTCTAGACCTTGTAGCCGAATCGTTAGAGCGTCATGTGGAATGATAATCTGAATCTATCATAATAAGGTAAACGCACCTTCCAAACTCTCTGCAGTGGCCCGTTCATCAATGTCGATGAGTGCCTGCTTCAGAACCTGTAGAGTAGCCTTTCTTCCCTCCCTGTTTCTCCACCTGTGCAGCACTTCTCTGCACCTGTGGTCAGGACTGGGTTCTGTGGTTCCGATGCCTTTGATCTCACTCCGACCAAATCCCAGTTTCCAGGCCAGGTCGTCCCACTTGTAGCTGACGCCTTTGATGACTTTGTCAAAATACTCCTGCACATCAGCTGTAACATTTAAGGGCATTTCATGACGACATGAATATAACCAGTATTATGTATGAAGTATGATACTTTAGTGGGTTTTTCTTCCATTGCTTTGTCATTTGCAGTTGTAGATGCTGGCATTTGTTAATAACCTTTTAAAGCACCAAACACAAACATTAAGGCTAGAACGGCTTAACTTAGAGCTACTAAGAAAACATCTGGACTCCATCTGTAAGCAGGAAGGATCTCCCCATTTGTTACATTTTTCAACAAGGAAAATGAGTTAATGGTAAGGTGGGCGAGTGTAGGTATATTTGTAGTAATTGTAGGTGTCCAAGGTTTCTTTCTGGGGCCTTTAACTGTAGTTGTAGAACTATTACTTTATATATAGATGTCATGACTTCATTAAAATGAATATGCCTACATTATATCACTTTTTAACTTCTCACCTTCCGCTGGTTTCTTCTTCCCTGGAAACTCTTCTCCATCCTCCCCCTTCCTCTTCAGCTGGCTGCTAGAGGCTCGGGGTGAACCTGTCTCAGAGAGGTGGATTCAGGTATCAGTAATGATGTCAACTCAGCTTCTGCAGTCAAGGGCACTGCTATCATGATGTGAACAATTATTTATCAGGATGAGAGGTTATGCTGTGTTTACTGCCACCTGTATTTTACCTTCAGAACATTGTGATTTTTCTCACCTGCAGTTTCACCTGAGCACCCAGCCGCCCCCTGGCCCTCAGCCATGACTCACACAGGTGTCAGCTACATCAGCATTATAGGAACACCTGGAACAGACAGGTGTGTGTCAGGTATGTGGTAACAACACCTGAGACAGACAGGTGTGTGTCAGGTATGTGGTAACAACACCTGGAACAGACAGGTGTGTGTCAGGTATGTGGTAACAACACCTGGAACAGACAGGTGTGTGTCAGGTATGTGGTAACAACACCTGGGACAGACAGGTGTGTGTCAGGTATGTGGTAACAATACCTGGAACAGACGTGTGTGTCAGGTATGTGGTAACAACACCTGGAACAGACAGGTGTGTGTTAGGTATGTGGTAACAACACCTGGAACAAACAGGTGTGTGTCAGGTATGTGTTAGCACCTGGAACAGACAGGTGTGTGTCAGATATGTGGTAACACCTGAAACAGACAGGTGTGTCAGGTATGTGGTAACAACACCTGGAAGAGACAGGTGTGTGTCAGGTATCTGGAACAACACCTGGGACAGCCTAACAGGTGTGTGAAACAATATCTTGTAGCTTAAGTATCAATTAATGTACTAGTAATTTCTAACCGCAAAAATATTAAATGGATTTACAGTATACCCAAGATACAGTATGCAAATTAGGATTTGGCCATAGTTGCCATAGTGATGGGGTAAATTACCTGATTTTTTAGTATTTATCATTTATAATCAGGTGGAGATAATTTCTGTTTCAGTATGGTTTAATCTTAAGAACAAAAATATAACGTTAGTTACGTTACCCGAGCGTGTGAGATGGTCTCATCATATTTAGTAAGTTTTTTTTTTTGCGGGGGGGGGTGGAGGCGCCAAAACTGTTAGTACAACCTTTTGGTTTCGTCCCTTCCAGTGATTTGTAGGAAAATAGAGCTTTGTATTTGAATTTTAGTTTGCTAGATTTAAAAGCTCATGGGTAACTTTGTTTTTAACTGACTGTTCGTCCTAGTTTTAAATAGCCTGAGTGTCAGCCTTGTTAGCTTTCGTCCGCTACCCAATAATGTGAAAACATACAGAACACAAACTGCATTTATGAATGTATGAATGGATGGACCTTTAAACTGGTATGTACAAAATGGCACTGTTGGCGGGGAGCGGACCTTGGGTAGCGGACGAAAGCTAACAAGGCTGACACTCAGGCTAAGTTTTACCACAAATCTAGATAGCAAACAAAGAAAAGTTACGACCGTAAAGTACCGTTAGAACTCAGCAGTTTTGTG